TGCCCTGATGGAGGTCAAATATAGCATACAAGCAGATTTTACCAACTTGCATTCAAATTAAATTTTCTTAGGCGTCTTTGAAATATATTTCAGATGTTATTGTAGGGGAAAAATATAGGGGTCCTTTTGTCTTTTTCTTTTCTGTTCTGCGTGCCGTATGTGTAGTACTACGTACATAGTAGCACAGTGTTACTTAAATAAGCGTTCAGATTCTACAGTGCTAGTACACACTAGGTCTACACGTACTGTAGTTACGTGCATTGCATTTTGGCTTTCCTCTGAAATGTGTTTCTGCCTTGATTGTCTGTATTACTGTTTTCTAAGACAGAAATGTATTTTATTTAACATTGGAAAGAGGTATGCTATATCTATGTTAGATATTTGTTACGTTATTGGCTTTTTACTTTTAACTGTGTACTTGTAATGTGATACATGAGCTTATGGAATAAGAACTGAAATGAGAGTTATGACTTTTTCAGGGGATTGTGCCCACACAAATTTTAAATTTTTATTGTTTTACTGCACAGATTCATAGTACTACAGAAAGTAGATCAGACAAAATATAATTTGGGCTTTAACGTGCCCTTGCACATGTTTAGTTAAAACAGATTTTTCTAATAAAATGGACAAGGCTTTTTGTAAGTGATTCTTTAATAAATACAAATCTGCTTAAGTGGGATTTGTTTTTTTTTGTTTTTTTTTAAGTAGTTGCTTGAAAAGCAACCTTTAAAAGTTATAATGAATAAATCCTCCTTTGCCTTCTGGCTTTGTAATGTTCAAAGTGAATGTATTTGACTACCCTCTGCCTGGGAAGAGGAAGCTGGAAGGGTTTAAGAACTGTTTTTTTAAAGGGGAATAATCCCAACATTAAATATGGAATTAATCTATAAGTAAACTTTACTTTCGCTTTGAAAATCACAAAATCTTTACTGCTTTTTTCCTCCACTTAATGTTTTTAATTTTTCTAGTGTGAAATAGAGTAAATGGTGGGCATACAGTTTTAGAGCACTGCTGTGTTTTGTGATTACTTTGGGCGTCAGCAATTTTTTCTGTTATCTTGCCATATTCTCGTTTTCCCCTTAGCTGGAGTACGTTCCGCTTCTCCTGCGCTCTCACAGATTTCTCCGAATTGAATCCTTTTCTTTGTCGTGTTTTCTTTCTCGCCTGACCTTTCCTTTGTAGGGCGCTGCTGCTTTGTCCTTCGCTGTTTAATCCTGTGCTTTCCGTTCTCTTAACTTGTCTAGAGCCTAGAAGAAGAAATAACGTCAATTTTGTGTAGTAAAGAGGGCTTTTCCTTCGCCGCAGCCGGCGTGCGGACAGCAGAGGGCGCTGCCGGGAAGGCCGAGGCCGCCGCCGCCGCGCCGCCGCCCCAGGTGCCTGTCCGCTTCCCTCCCCGCCGCCGGCACCCACCCGGGCCGTGCAGCCCTAAAAATGGTAGCGGGGGGACAGGTGAATTACTGCCGGAGATTAGACCAGCGTCCGCTTTAAAGATTTAGACACCGACCCACAATGCAGTAAAAAAACCACAAAGGTGGCATATAACTTCTGCCGCGTCAGAGGAGGTGGGCTGGTTACTTGTAGTAGGGGCGAGCGATGCAGCTAAAGACCTGAATTCTCTATTTGCAGTGCTTGAGAAGTACTCATTGGTTCTTGGTTTAGCTTCTCCAGGAATGCTAGCTTAGACTCTGTAGCTGCTTTGCTTGGTAAAACAAGCAATAAAAGCTAGGATTAAGTCACAGATGATGTGTTCACTTTTATATTTACTATTTGAACTTAATGTGCTGCCAACCATTTTCTGAAAATGAATTATGTAGTTTTTAGATCTAATGTATGGTGGGCTTTCTGGGATATCCCATCACATCATTTTGTCACGGAAGATACTAATATAATTTCTTTAACCTCACCATTTGAGCTCCACACTGAATCCTAATAGGATCATCTTGGTAGTCACGTATTGCTACTTCAATAACAATACCATCCTGAACAGTCTCCTCCTTATGATCTGTTAAGTTTCTTAAAGTAACAGACCAAAAGTGAACTAATAAAAGCTTACAATGAAATATTTTTATTTTCTGTGATGATAACCTGATAGTAGAATACTAAATCAGTTTTTGCTTTCCAGCAATATTATTTATTATTAATTCTTGATTTGAGATAATTGTCTCAGTAGCATGACTGACTAGTGTGTTCATGCTTTCTTCATGCTTTGTCTTGTTTTATCCTAATTAATAATGTCCATAATTCCTGCCTACTTTTGAGTGGAATATTTTAATGAAGTGGAAGGAAAAGAGCATAGTTCTTTGTGGGTCTTGCAGTGAATACACAGTACCTGTCTAGCTTCATGAATATACATTCTTAAAGCTTGCTCTAAGACTGCTATGCTGTTGAAAAGGGATGTGCCAGTGTTTTGTATAGGATACTAAGTATTTGTCTCCTGCTGTTTAGAAAATGCATTGATTTGTGTCCTTTGATTGCTTTTTGTTTCACAGAGACATGCTTCCAGAGCAGAAGGGCCTTGCACTGGAGTCAGCGATGCTGATAAGGTTCTACTGATTTTTCCGTAGTTAAATTTGGCTCTAATGCTTCCAATCCATCTTCATTCTTTCTTTCTTTCCCTTTTCAGTTAACCATCACAACCATCTTTTGTCTTCTACATGACATGAACCAGCCATACGTTAATTTTTTTCCTCCATCATTTTAATTTAATCATATACTATACTTTTGTTTTTCCTCATCCATGTTTTTTGTGCAGAGTTCACATGAGACTCTGGACATAGTGGAGGAGAAGAAGCAGGCAGAGGTTGGGAGAGAAGAAACAGTAGTCATAGACGAAACCAACAAAGGGAACGTGCAAGTTGCCACTGATGCTGGGGAAACATGTAAGGTGGAGCACCTGTCAAAAAAAGACTCATCATCTTTGCCATCAGATAGTAGCAGCAGTAGTAGTGAGAGTGAGGATGAAGAGGTGGGAGAATACCAGCCACATCATAGGGCAATTGAGGAGGTCATCAGGGAAGAACAAGAAGAAGAAGAAGATACAAGCAGAAAAAAAGAGCATGAAGAAAAGATAACGCAGCAAGTAGAAGCAACATCAGAAGGCAGTAAACTAAATGTACCGGTTGAGCGCAAACAAGTTACAGCTGCAGCTTTGGTCCAGGAAAATGCAGTTACAATAGCTACAGAAGAGAAGAATTTCTCAGATGAGATGAAGCAAAACTTAGGTGAAGAAAAAGAGGAAGAGCAGCTCAGACTGAATGGAGATGTGTCTCATGTTGACATTGATGTTGCACCACAAATAATTTGTTGTTCAGAGGTAAATGGTAGAACAGTTTGACAACTAGATTAAGCAGAGAGATTTATTGGGGTGAAAATATACTTGGCTTTCTTCTTCTCCTATTCTTCCAGCTCTTCAGGCATTCAGCAAGATTCAGATCCTTTGGAAGGGGAAACCACTGAGAGCAGAGAAATTCTGTCTCCTTCAGTTATGGTTTCTGGCTTTTTGCTAGAACTGGATGTGCATCACCAGTAAAGCAAACCTTCCGAAGATGACCATCTCCTTTTTTATCTCCCCCTTATTTTATATGCACATACATAATATATATTTATTACTTATATGTTTTTAATGTTTTAAGTCTCGTCTCGTCTATTTGTCAATTGTTTTTGACATGTCCGTGACCTGTAATTGTGATTGGAAAACACTTGAAATTGGAAAATGTCAGTTACGAATTGTTTTCACCTTTTTTGCCCTATTATCCACTGCTGTTCTTTCCCCCCCTTTTTTTTCCTCCCCTCTCCCCCTCCTTTTGAAAAAATGTTATGGATTTAGAGACTAAAATAAGTATAGGTAGGAACTGGCTAGGTAAGAGCACTGTATTTAAAGGGAATGCACATACAATTATCTTAGTGTGAAATCTTCCAGTGCAATAGATATTTAGGGAAGCATGGATTGGTTCCAGACCTGATCAACTGTTTTAAGCCAAACAAGGTTAAAGGGTTCACTGTTGGGTAAAATTTTTAAAGAAGCAGAAGGGGAAAAAATGAAATGCAAGGATGCATCTTTGTAAAGTTGGCAAGATCTTCTGCTGACTTTTTGGACAATATGGTGAAGTTTTTTGCTACTTGTCTATGCGCCTTTTCTTGCAAGGATGGCATTTTTTTTGCTTTATACTCAAACCCAAATGAAAATAAGTTCAGAGGTGGTTCTGCAGATGTTGCATACTTGTGTTTTTCTCAGCTACCTTACTAATTTTGTTATCTTTCACATACACAGTCTTCTTTCATGTTCTTAACTAGAACACCTAATTAGTTTATAAGACCTTTAGAAGTTGCAGGCACAACATGCTTGCACCCACACTTCCTAGAAGCATAGCCAGTTTGGGGGGAGGGAAGAAAGGCTTGTGTGTGTGCAAGTGTGTGTGAAATAAAGATAAGTGTCTAGGAGTTTTTCCTAAGTGCCTTTAAAATCAATAGGAGAAAGCAACTCCTGCATCTAGAAAAAAAGATCAAAAGGCTTTACTTGTGTTGTGTGGGTTTTTTTTTTTTTTAAGTTATTGAATATACTTCGAAATCTGCTGCAAGTCACAAGTTCACTGGCTTAAGGACCCCTTGTTAATCACTGCCTTTTTGACATTGCAGAGAACGCCACTAGCAAACCTCTCAATGGGTGAAATGGTTTTCTTGAGGTCAAAAGAAGCCATTGATATTCACACTTATTACACTGAATGTAGAGTGCTTAAAATTCAAAAGTCAGAGTTGTCTTTCTGTTCCAGAAATAGTACCTATTAAAAAGTGAAAAAATTTACAATATTTCCTGAAATTTTTAGTCCTTGTTCGCAGTTTGACTAGTTAAGATAAATATTTTCCCAGGTGAATACTAGTGTGAAGCTTTTCCCTTTGAGCTAGCTATGTCCTTCTTGTTTGATAGAACCTTTGCACAAGCCAAGATTTTATTTCTTACTGATGTTGTTTCACACATTTTAAATACCTGTGTTACAGGTTGATTTTAGCAATTGATTTCTTAAATATTTGCTGTTAGCTGAAACACAGAACTTTGGCAAAGGCTATTAGGAGATTAGATTTCTCTACCACAGATAGATAAGATAATTAGAATACTGGTTTATTAGTCTTCATTCCATTTTGCTTATTTATTTTGCTTCTTGATTGGAAAGATAGTCTTAAATATTTATCAAACTGCTGTGCTTTTCCTAGATTTTTGATTGTATGTTCTTGGTTCCCTTCACAAACCTTTTCCTCATTTAAATTGATGGTCTTTTAAATTGATTGTTTCTGTCTCTTGCACCACAGCCTCCAGTAGTGAAAACGGAGATGGTAACCATTTCAGATGCTGCACAGAGAACTGAAATCTCCACTAAGGAAGTTCCAATTGTTCAAACAGAAACTAAAACCATCACGTATGAATCTCCACAGGTATAGTGGCTGGGTAGTTTGGTATATCGTTTAGTGTATGGTTTGCAAGTTGAGTTTTATTCCCGCCATTTTTAGCTCAAATTAAAGAGCTATAATGTCCAAGAAATGCTTTTCAAAAACCTATGCTTTCTTCTAGCAGCGCTAAGACTATACTTTGACTATGGAATAGTTGAACTGAAATGGTTATAGAAAAAAGCAGTACTATTACTCTTAAAGTTCTAAAAGTGCCTTCCTCTTCTTCTTGTTAATAAAAACTTAGTTGCTTTGTAATTGACTATCTGCAAATGTAAAACCATATTTAGCATTGGAAATTTGATTTAAATCTTATTACTCCTGAAAAGAACACTTAACTTTGATCATAAATTTTATCCAAGAGTAAAACATAACAGCAGCCTAAATAGCTCAGTAAACTTGATGGCTTCTATTCAGATTTTGGTTTTTAACTTTTCCATTTGAACTGAAAAGTTAAGTATGTGTTCAGTAATAAAAATTGCATTAAGTTTTTCCCCGTTAAAGTAAAGCTTTTAAATGCCAAAATATGAAAATATTATTTTTCTTCTCACAGTTTGATGCCAATACAGGTGGTGATGCTGGTGTGCTGCTGAGTGCACAGACAATTACATCAGAATCAATTTCTACCACCACAACTACACACATCACAAAGGTAAAATGGATAATGTCTCTCTGAACTGAAAAATAAATGAGCAAAAACCCTCGAAAAATCTCATAGGTAGTTCCTCAGACTTCTCATCTTTATTTAGCAGATATAGTTAAAATGAACTGGATTCATTCCAGGCATATGGGGAGAGCTCACTTTCCAAAAGCAAATTTTGAACAGAGAAGTCCGAATAAGTAAGGGAGAACATCTGGGAACAGGATTGGGAAGGGTAGAAAAATGTGATTAGATATTTAAGTATTTCATATAGGTCTCATTTCTGGTGTTTGGCAAGGAATTTGGACCTAGACCTTTACAGTCTCAATATTCTGCACTCACTCACTGATACCTTGTAGGATCTTTGAAAACAAAATTGATCTGTGTGGGGTCCGCAGGAGCCCTGTTAATAGAATCTGTCATAAGGATGTACTGACACAATGTTTTTTCAGCCTTGGTATTGTATATCCTTGCACTGCTAGCTTTAAAGCACATTTTAAAACAGCTTATACTGTTAGATTACTTGCGCAAACAAATATATTTTGGGGTTTGAATTATGTCCTCCACATATGTCTCTTCACAGTGTGTTAGAGCTACCAAAGTGTTATTTTTATTCATTACTTATATGAGTATTTCTACAATTTTAAAAGGCGTGCACCAGCAACACAGTTTTCATCTCATGTCTCTGAACTCTTAACATAGTTTTCCAAGAAGATTGTAGAAAAATTTATTTACAGTAAAGAAAAAGTCAAGAAGAGAAATGTAAGCTGTAAGTTTGGGAGTTTTTTTCCCACCAAGACAAGAAGCTTCATATCATCACAGAATGGAACAGTAACTCGCTGCTCAGTGGATTAATTTGGCAACCAAATATTCTAAAAAATAGAGAGTTGCATTTGCAGAAGGAAATTGGAGAGATGATGTTGGAAAGTTGTAAGCTGAAAGTCACCTAGAAGAAACTGAGCTTAGACCTTAAAATGTAATGTTTTATTAGGCAGATCAATCAACAGATCCTCTTCCTTCTCCTACTCCCTTTTAGATTCATTAGCCAACAGCATTTTAGGCAGAAGTCCTATTTAATAAATTGTGCTATAACTATTCAAAATTGAAAAGTGGAATTTTCTGGCTAAGTTCAGATGTGAAAAAATGTTCCTTTTAGGAAGGAAGCATTTAAAAAAAATTGATTTCAGTCTTTTCTTCTCAAAAATGACTGGGATGACCATAATGCAGCAGGTCTTCATCTTTTCTTATATACTGGTGATCACTGATTCAAAAGGCTTTAGGATTTCAAAGGCTTTTCATTATCTATCAAAGTTAAAATTAAAATTTTCTAAAGATGTTCTTAAAAGAATGATGTTGAAACTTTTCTAATATGATCCGTGTTTCTTAAGAACTACTTTATTCTTTTCTGTAATACAGGCCTATAAAAAAAGCATACAATTTTATTTCTTTTTAGAATATTTCTCTAAGCTAAAATGTTTTAATAATTAGAGTGAGAAATGAAGAAACAAAGCACAATTATTCCCATCTGAGATGTGAAATATGTTAATAACATGACACTAAGGTGCATGAACTCCAAACTGAAAAAGAGAACATCTTTGTATGTGATGGTACGGGATTACTCGGAGACTGAGAAGAGGTCCATGCTAGAGGGATGGAAACCAAAGAAGACTCCTGCAATCTATTTCTTGCCAGGCTTATTTGATGAAGGAGACTGGAACTCCCATTTGTGTACACTTCTAGATGTGTTCAAACTTCAGTTCAAAAAACAGAAGGAATTGTCTTTGCTTGTTTTTTACCAAGTTTTTCTTAGCAATCACTGAAATGTGACTAACTACATAACTGGAAAAAGAAAGGAGGACCTTAGTTCAGACCAAGAATATTTGCTACTAACTGCAATCCATTGGCAGAAATTCAGTTGCTTCAGGGCAGTAGAAAGGAGTGCTTTGTGAATCCTCTCCTGGCTATATGGAATAATTGTAAAGATGTTTTCTTGTTTTTGTGCCATCTGTAGATGGTAAAAGGTGGAGTATCAGAAACAAGAATTGAGAAGCGCATTGTCATTACTGGAGATGCAGATATTGACCATGATGAGGTGAGTATGTAAGCTGTTAACCTTTATAATGTGTTGGTGATAGTCCAGTGATCTCTAAAAGCTCTTTCAGAAATATGAAATAGGAGAAAGTAGAGAAGTTGAATAGGAAGAATCAGATGCTGAGACTGTTCATTGCAGCAAAGTTGTCAGCTATCGTGTTTTGTGAATGGAGAACCTTTAGAGTATAACTGAGGAAAAAAAACAGATGACATGAATGCATTTCCTGCTATTTTTAAAGAGCTTGCTTTTTTTTGGAAGGGAGCCAATCTGTTTAGTTTGGGGTTTTTTTTAGCTTATAGGAGGAAAAGCATTACTACAATAATCTATTTTGAAACGTTAATCTAGATAGGCAGGAGTCTCTACTGCTTTGGTTCAGCAACATCTGAATGCAGAGCTTAATTTGATTGAAACCTTTGAAATATATTAAGGCATAAACTACTTGAATTAAGAATAGTAGTTTTTGCCTTGGATGTGTAAAGTTGTGTGTTTAAAAAAAAAAAAAAAAAAGTTGATCCGCTGAAGCATAAGTACCTTTCATCTTTATCAGCACAAAAGCAGTTGCAATTTTTTATGGTCTGAGAAGAGAGTTAATATCACTTTTACCTGCCCAGTTAGGCTGGCTGAATTTGAGAAGTACACAGAAAAAATTTAAGAAAGTGCAATTAGCTACTCTTTGGAGTGGCAAAGTCAATCAACAATCAGTGGAATAATATGAATGAAAAAGCCTACCTTCTACATAAAATTGCAGTGAATCCAGTTCTAACTTTATGGTAGCTACACAAACGAACAGGGTTTAATATAACTTCTCAGTTTTAATATAGTGAGACCTTTCAGTGAATCTAATTTCAGATGTTGATGTGCCTCCAGAAAGTGGCTCGTGACAAGTTCAATCTCTTCTTGAAACTTGTAATTAAATGGCAGTGCTGTTTAGCATTAGACATGGCTTGTTTTCTGCCTTGACACACCTATAATGCATTTGGAATGTCTGAAAAGGTCAGAAAATACCTTTGCTTTAGTAAAACTGTTCTCCTAGCCCTTCTTCAAGTAAGTGGTAATGAAGTAAAAAATGAATCTATTAAAAAAAAAAAAAATCACTGAAATTTGACACAGTGAGCTGCTCTTAACAGATTTAAGAAACCTCTACCACAGTCTCTTCAGTGGATTTGAAGTTCCTGGACTCGCAGACTATTTAATCAATGTTCATTCTTTTGTTGTTCTGCCCCCTACATCACTGACTAGTTTTCAATAAGAAAGAGATTTTAATTTGAGTTTCAGAATACAAATGCTTCTTACACTTCCTGCGATTTAGAGGTTAGAGACTTGAATAATCATTGTTTGTGGTTTGATTAAAAACAGTGACTCTTAAATCTGAGCAGCCACTTGCTTTTAAATCCTCATTTGTACTGCATAGATTACGTTTGCCATACCTTAAAACACAAACTAATAAAAAAATTGTTACAGTTAATATATGAGTAAACATCAGTATTGTACCAGTGCATTATGTGTTATTCTATACCTGTTTTCTTAATAGGACTTCAAATTCATTATCTTTTAATCATTAAGGTGGCAAATGTTGGCGTTCTTCCAGTTTCTTTTCAGAATTCATTATTTCTTCTCTAACTTACGACCTATGGCTCAGGAACTTGTCATATTTTGAAATGATGCAACTTCTTGCGTCTCATTTTTCTTCCTGTTTCTAGTATTATTAAAGTTGTGATTAAGGCTAAACTGACTGAGTTTACTGTTGCCATATGGTACCTTTTCCAGCTCCTTCCAGTTTCTTCATCATTTCTTTTGTTGTTCCATCAGTAATACAGCTCACTGAAATAAGTTTCAGATCAAGGTAAGGAACAGTAGGTCCCAGGAGCTCTTTTGCATAGTCTGCCTCAAAGGTGCACTTCTGTGGTTGGCTGTGAAGCCTTATGTGCATTGAGACATCTCTTAAGAAGACAAAATTTCTTAAAACGTGGAGGAAGGTTTAAAAAGAAACTAACTGGCATTTATACTTCTATGAATTAAACTAGAGAAGACTATCTTAAACTAGTAACAGGAGGAAAAGGAGATTCTTATGTCGAGGAAAAAATTTCTGTTACAATCTTCTCCTGAAGTTTCAGCACTGTACTTAGACCAGATAGCAATGTATTTTTCCATTTTATTCAGGAAACTGAGGGAAACTTTTATTTTTAGTACTGCGTATGTTCCTGCTTTGTCTCCATTTGTAAAAGTTCTAAAACTTCTGATATAGGAGTGCTTTTTGTCCTCTGGAATGAACTAAAAAAGTTATAGGGTGACTTTATAGTTTTCTGCTACTTTCTGGAAATTTCAGTAAATTTACAAAGCCTTTCTTTTAATGTTGGGGGGGGAGGGTAGGGAGAAGAGGGCATTCTTTTGTTCATTAGTTTTCCTGAAACCTTCCAAGTTCAGGAATTTAGAGTTCTGAACAACTATTACGGAAATTTCTAATGCAACTCATCCATCTTCCTGCCCCATATTAATGTCTCTTTGCCGTCACTGAATTACATATTTCAAATATGTTTGCAGGCCCTGGCACAGGCAATCAAAGAAGCCAAAGAACAGCACCCTGACATGTCTGTCACAAGAGTAGTGGTGCACAAAGAAACTGAACTTGCTGAGGAAGATGAAGAGTAAAATCAAATGCCATCAAGCAAGTGTTTTAGGTAAGTCTGCAATATGAAACAGATTTAATAACAAATATATGCATAAATAACATAGTTTGAAAAAGTAGCATCAATTTTCTCTTGTATTCTGCATTTTAACAGGCTTGACAAATACTGGGGATTTTTGGTATGTGCTCTCACAAATTGGTGCAGTGGAACAGGCACTTAAGTGTAAGAATTTTATCTCAAGTCAACTCTCACATTTTTTATTTAAGTTTCAAATTTAAATGTCTTCCAGTTCACAGTACTCTTGTTATGGCGTTTCCTATGACATTTTCTCAAGTTATTGTAGTTTATCTTAAGTGAGTTTGGGCTATTTCTGCAAAATATGAAGCATGTGTCATGTTTTTTTTGTGTAGCGGTACAATTACAGTCCTTGCCTTACACTTTATTTATTTTATTGGGAAGATTATGTGCAGTTCCCTGCTCGGACGTTTTCATTCAGTCAGATAATTCTCAATGTTAAGCATATTAAAATATTTAACCTTTTTATCATTCTCCATGGGAAGGAGTTAAATGCTTTGCAAATTGAGGTTTTAAAGCCTGTTATCAGCTGAAAGAATATTTGAAGGAATGTCAGTTTACTAGGTCCTCATTCAGTTGGTATATTCTTTACTGCTAGCACACTTGGATTTGGGGCTAGAGGTTTTTTCCCTGTTGATGTATGTACAAAAACAAAAAAAAATCTTGTTTCAGTTGATGCCCATTGCCTCCCATCCTGAGAAGAGTCTGGTACTCTTCTTTACACCCTCCCATCAGATATTGACAGGCATTGATAAGATCTCTCCTGAGCTTTCTCTTCTTCAGGCTAAACACTACAAGCTCTGTCAGTCTCTCATCATATGAGAGGTGCTCCAATCCCTTGATCATCTTTGACCATTCACTGGACCCACTCCAGTATGTCCATGTCTTTCCTGTGCTGGGGAGCCCAGAACTGGACATAGCATTCCAGGTGTGGCCTCACCTATGCTGACTAAAGGAGAAGGATTGCATCCCTCAACCTGCTGGTGACACTATTCCTAAAGCAGTCCAAGGTACTGTTAGCCACCTTTGCCACAAGGACACGTTGCTGGCTCATGTTCCGCTTGTGCACTAGGACTCCCAGGTCTTGATCTGCAAAGCTGCTGTCTAACAGGTTCACCCTCAGCATGTACTGGTGCTTGGAGTTATTCCTTCCCAGGTGCAGGACTTTTCATTTCCCTTTGTTGAACTATATAAGGTTCCTCTCTGCCCATTTCTCCAGCCTGTTGAGGTTCCTCCAAAAGGCTGCAGAACTATCTGGTCTATCAGTCACTCTTCCTAGTTTTATATCATCTGCAAATTACCATTATTACTGTTATTACCATTATTACCAAATTACCAGAGGGCAGCCAACAGAGGCAGCGAACAGATGCAGCAGTTTGCGCAGCAGTGTCTGGGCTCTGCCTGGGCTTTTTGTGGGCTGGGCCTTTTGTGGGCCTTGTTGGAAGTTGTGGAGACTTTCTGGGGACCCCCGAGGAACTAGACGGTGCTTGCTGCTAGCAGGAAGGGAGAGCTGGGCAAGGACTCCTGCAGGGGACCTTGACTTAACTTCTCCTGGGAAGTTCTAGCTAGGTGGGGCTGCTGCTAACGAGCTCTCTGGGCTGCCCTGGTCAGAGGGAGTTGGTGCTTTTGTTTCAGGTGGCTCCTGATTGGGTGGGTCAAGCACCCTTGTGAGTCACTGCTAGGCAGAGGCCTATATAAGAGCCAGGCCTAGAGCGCAGCTCCCAGAGCGCAGCCAACAGAGGCAGCGAACAGACGCAGCAGTTTGCGCAGCAGTGTCTGGGCTCTGCCTGGGCCTTTTGTGGGCCTTGTTGGAAGTTGTGGAGACTTTCTGGGGACCCCCGAGGAACTAGACGGTGCTTGCTGCTAGCAGGAAGGGAGAGCTGGGCAAGGACTCCTGCAGGGGACCTTGACTTAACTTCTCCTGGGAAGTTCTAGCTAGGTGGGGCTGCTGCTAACGAGCTCTCTGGGCTGCCCTGGTCAGAGGGAGTTGGGGCTTTTGTTTCAGGTGGCTCCTGATTGGGTGGGTCAAGCACCCTTGTGAGTCACTGCTAGGCAGAGGCCTATATAAGAGCCAGGCCTAGAGCGCAGCTCCCAGAGCGCAGCCAACAGAGGCAGCGAACAGACGCAGCAGTTTGCGCAGCAGTGTCTGGGCTCTGCCTGGGCCTTTTGTGGGCCTTGTTGGAAGTTGTGGAGACTTTCTGGGGACCCCCGAGGAACTAGACGGTGCTTGCTGCTAGCAGGAAGGGAGAGCTGGGCAAGGACTCCTGCAGGGGACCTTGACTTAACTTCTCCTGGGAAGTTCTAGCTAGGTGGGGCTGCTGCTAACGAGCTCTCTGGGCTGCCCTGGTCAGAGGGAGTTGGGGCTTTTGTTTCAGGTGGCTCCTGATTGGGTGGGTCAAGCACCCTTGTGAGTCACTGCTAGGCAGAGGCCTATATAAGAGCCAGGCCTAGAGCGCAGCTCCCAGAGCGCAGCCAACAGAGGCAGCGAACAGACGCAGCAGTTTGCGCAGCAGTGTCTGGGCTCTGCCTGGGCCTTTTGTGGGCCTTGTTGGAAGTTGTGGAGACTTTCTGGGGACCCCCGAGGAACTAGACGGTGCTTGCTGCTAGCAGGAAGGGAGAGCTGGGCAAGGACTCCTGCAGGGGACCTTGACTTAACTTCTCCTGGGAAGTTCTAGCTAGGTGGGGCTGCTGCTAACGAGCTCTCTGGGCTGCCCTGGTCAGAGGGAGTTGGGGCTTTTGTTTCAGGTGGCTCCTGATTGGGTGGGTCAAGCACCCTTGTGAGTCACTGCTAGGCAGAGGCCTATATAAGAGCCAGGCCTAGAGCGCAGCTCCCAGAGCGCAGCCAACAGAGGCAGCGAACAGACGCAGCAGTTTGCGCAGCAGTGTCTGGGCTCTGCCTGGGCCTTTTGTGGGCCTTGTTGGAAGTTGTGGAGACTTTCTGGGGACCCCCGAGGAACTAGACGGTGCTTGCTGCTAGCAGGAAGGGAGAGCTGGGCAAGGACTCCTGCAGGGGACCTTGACTTAACTTCTCCTGGGAAGTTCTAGCTAGGTGGGGCTGCTGCTAACGAGCTCTCTGGGCTGCCCTGGTCAGAGGGAGTTGGGGCTTTTGTTTCAGGTGGCTCCTGATTGGGTGGGTCAAGCACCCTTGTGAGTCACTGCTAGGCAGAGGCCTATATAAGAGCCAGGCCTAGAGCGCAGCTCCCAGAGCGCAGCCAACAGAGGCAGCGAACAGACGCAGCAGTTTGCGCAGCAGTGTCTGGGCTCTGCCTGGGCCTTTTGTGGGCCTTGTTGGAAGTTGTGGAGACTTTCTGGGGACCCCCGAGGAACTAGACGGTGCTTGCTGCTAGCAGGAAGGGAGAGCTGGGCAAGGACTCCTGCAGGGGACCTTGACTTAACTTCTCCTGGGAAGTTCTAGCTAGGTGGGGCTGCTGCTAACGAGCTCTCTGGGCTGCCCTGGTCAGAGGGAGTTGGGGCTTTTGTTTCAGGTGGCTCCTGATTGGGTGGGTCAAGCACCCTTGTGAGTCACTGCTAGGCAGAGGCCTATATAAGAGCCAGGCCTAGAGCGCAGCTCCCAGAGCGCAGCCAACAGAGGCAGCGAACAGACGCAGCAGTTTGCGCAGCAGTGTCTGGGCTCTGCCTGGGCCTTTTGTGGGCCTTGTTGGAAGTTGTGGAGACTTTCTGGGGACCCCCGAGGAACTAGACGGTGCTTGCTGCTAGCAGGAAGGGAGAGCTGGGCAAGGACTCCTGCAGGGGACCTTGACTTAACTTCTCCTGGGAAGTTCTAGCTAGGTGGGGCTGCTGCTAACGAGCTCTCTGGGCTGCCCTGGTCAGAGGGAGTTGGGGCTTTTGTTTCAGGTGGCTCCTGATTGGGTGGGTCAAGCACCCTTGTGAGTCACTGCTAGGCAGAGGCCTATATAAGAGCCAGGCCTAGAGCGCAGCTCCCAGAGCGCAGCCAACAGAGGCAGCGAACAGACGCAGCAGTTTGCGCAGCAGTGTCTGGGCTCTGCCTGGGCCTTTTGTGGGCCTTGTTGGAAGTTGTGGAGACTTTCTGGGGACCCCCGAGGAACTAGACGGTGCTTGCTGCTAGCAGGAAGGGAGAGCTGGGCAAGGACTCCTGCAGGGGACCTTGACTTAACTTCTCCTGGGAAGTTCTAGCTAGGTGGGGCTGCTGCTAACGAGCTCTCTGGGCTGCCCTGGTCAGAGGGAGTTGGGGCTTTTGTTTCAGGTGGCTCCTGATTGGGTGGGTCAAGCACCCTTGTGAGTCACTGCTAGGCAGAGGCCTATATAAGAGCCAGGCCTAGAGCGCAGCTCCCAGAGCGCAGCCAACAGAGGCAGCGAACAGACGCAGCAGTTTGCGCAGCAGTGTCTGGGCTCTGCCTGGGCCTTTTGTGGGCCTTGTTGGAAGTTGTGGAGACTTTCTGGGGACCCCCGAGGAACTAGACGGTGCTTGCTGCTAGCAGGAAGGGAGAGCTGGGCAAGGACTCCTGCAGGGGACCTTGACTTAACTTCTCCTGGGAAGTTCTAGCTAGGTGGGGCTGCTGCTAACGAGCTCTCTGGGCTGCCCTGGTCAGAGGGAGTTGGGGCTTTTGTTTCAGGTGGCTCCTGATTGGGTGGGTCAAGCACCCTTGTGAGTCACTGCTAGGCAGAGGCCTATATAAGAGCCAGGCCTAGAGCGCAGCTCCCAGAGCGCAGCCAACAGAGGCAGCGAACAGACGCAGCAGTTTGCGCAGCAGTGTCTGGGCTCTGCCTGGGCCTTTTGTGGGCCTTGTTGGAAGTTGTGGAGACTTTCTGGGGACCCCCGAGGAACTAGACGGTGCTTGCTGCTAGCAGGAAGGGAGAGCTGGGCAAGGACTCCTGCAGGGGACCTTGACTTAACTTCTCCTGGGAAGTTCTAGCTAGGTGGGGCTGCTGCTAACGAGCTCTCTGGGCTGCCCTGGTCAGAGGGAGTTGGGGCTTTTGTTTCAGGTGGCTCCTGATTGGGTGGGTCAAGCACCCTTGTGAGTCACTGCTAGGCAGAGGCCTATATAAGAGCCAGGCCTAGAGCGCAGCTCCCAGAGCGCAGCCAACAGAGGCAGCGAACAGACGCAGCAGTTTGCGCAGCAGTGTCTGGGCTCTGCCTGGGCCTTTTGTGGGCCTTGTTGGAAGTTGTGGAGACTTTCTGGGCACTGCTGGAGAGAGTCCAGCGGAGGGCTACAAAGATGATGAGGGGACTGCAGCATCTCTGCTATGAGGAAAGGCTGAGAGAGCTGGGCCTGTTCAGCCTGGAGAAGAGAAGACTGAGAGGCGATCTGATCAATGTGTGTAAGTATCTGAAGGGGGAGTGTCAAGAGGATGAGGCCAATCTCTTCTCCGTGGTTCCCAGCGACAGGACAAGAGACAACGGGCAGAAACTGAACCACAGGAAGTTCCACCTGAACCTGAGGAAAAACTTCTTCACTGTGAGGGTGACAGAGCACTGGAGCAGGTTGCCCAGAGAGGTGGTGGAATCTCCTTCGCTGGAGATATTCAAAACCTGTCTGGATGTGATCCTGGGCAATATGCTCTAGAGGTCCCTGCTTGAGCAGGGAGGTTGGACTAGATGATCTCCAGAGGTCCCTTCCAACCTAAACGATTCTGTGATTAGGAAGGAATTTTAATCTTCCTGAACTCTTAAGCAATCACAGCTGCATAGTTTCAGCTTAAAGAGACAGGCTAAAGCCTCAGTTTATTTTAAAAGCATCTTATTCTCCTTCACCACCTGGATAGGAGTGGAGAGTCATGAGGCTTAGGAAAAGGAAAGCTTGTATCATTTTCCAACTGCTGGTACTTGCACAATGAGAGTTAGGGGTTGCATGTTGAAAAGTACGGCGGAGAGATGTTTTGTGAGAGATTTATTGGAGGAAATATTGATTCCCATAGCTACACACTGGATGTCATTAGCCATTTCAGGAGATACCCTGAAATTCTGCTACATGCGGCATTGCATGGATTGACAGGACTGAATGCTATGGAGAGGTCCAAGAGGATAAGAATAGGATGCCTACCCTCTGCCTGCAGACAGAAAAATTATCTGCCTTTACCATTAATGTGATTCCAGCTGTGTTTCCTGGTCTTGTGCAGAGGCCTTGTGCTAGACCTAAAATGTTTGCTTCAATTAACCTGAAGTTACAAATTACCTTTTGTCTAGTTTTCCTGTGAGCTTGCTCAGAAACTGTAGGTTTTACAAGGAACTGGAGCTAAGCTTGAGCTACCCTCTGAAAATTTCTTCAGTGTTGGACAGATTATTGTGTGTTTGAAAAAGTAATGAATATTTTTTGCTCGTAATTTATACAAATCGGGAAAACATGGATCAGGTTTGGAAGTATTAGGTTAGCACTTCTTCACCCAAATGTTAATGTTATAAACTGGAAGTAGCAAAGGGCTGTCTTTTGGCGGAAATAAATGGTTCTGGTCTTTTTGGAAAGAATTTCAAAAGCTGCAGCCTCTCTCAACTCCTTGATCCAGCTGTCAGTAACGCAAAACAGTGTTGTGCCTGGCAACCATTTCTTTGTTTTCATGTGCCAGCTGCATAAAAGTGATTTAGAGAAGAAAAGCTTACTTTATGAATGGGTTGAAGGGTGATAGAACAGATGGGGAGTTTTTTGGTTGTTTTGGTTGTTTTGTTTTCTTTGTGCTTGTTTGTTTTAGTAAAGGTGACCAAGTCACCAAAAATAAGAATTGCTCAGAATGCCATGTATGTTCTGTCACTATAATTTCTTATTTCAGTGTTCAACTAAGTTTGCTTTGTAGCTTTGTTGCTTAGTGACACTGGAAACTATGAAGGTATAACATGTATGCTCCAGCTTTGTTTTGAAAACACAGGAGAGGACATGGAACCGCACTGAACTGTGAGGTAGTAATGGGTGGATGAGGCCCCATATCACATAAATAATCCAGATGAGCTTCGCAAAATACACGTTGCTTTTTGAGAGAGCTTTTGGTCTACAGGAGGGAGGATGCCTGTAGTTTGGATAATTTCACTAATCCCTAGGTGTGCAGGGTAACACTTAACAGGCACGCTCAGACTATCCTTCTCGTATTTCTGCTGTTTACATTGGAACATTTAAGGTATAAATATACAGTGAAAGAATAGAACAAATCATTCTGATTTACAAGGAGAGGCTGTGTGGCACCACCACATTGTTCATTTATTATTTATCAATGTGAATGTAAAGGTCTTCGGAGCAAGGACTGCCTCTTCTGTTATGTTTGTACCAAATATGCCGGTTTCTTCATGCTGCCTCAGCACAGAAAGGTGTTCTTCAAATCAGTGTTCAACATAATCTATCCCATGTAGTTTTTGTAAGTAACATCTCTCATGAAGGGACTGTGTCATGGGAGGAAGAATCTTGGAAGGTTTGCACTGCATTTCTATAGTAGTAACTAACTGAAAAGTTGATTCTCTTCCCTCATCAAATATTTTGCTACTTGGTAAAAATTTATTCAGAGAAAAGTATTCAAATAATTATTTCCATCTGTTGAGAGCGTGCTTTGCTTATTGGAGAAATATATACGTTGTGGAGTGGTGTTTGCAATATGTCAGCCGCTGTCAGCTGTTCTTATTTGAGTTTACCGGTTGCTTTATAGCTCTTGGTCTGAAATGCTTATTGGAGAGTAAAATAGGACTAATATGAAGACATTTTGCTATGTTACTTTTGTATCTTGAGACCTGGTGACTCGTTTGAATGAACGATACCTTTCAGTTAAACATCTAGGAAGAAATATAGTTGGCTTAACACCGGCCATCTGAAATGCCTTGGATATCTGCAACTTGCATACAGGGTTGGCAGATATAACACAGGACTACCCAGAGACCTCTGTCCTCTTGGAGCAGCAACTGGAGGCTAGATGGGATTGCAAAAATAGTTCTAGATAATTGTGTTTAGGCAATTGAATCATGCCGTGAATTTTGACTATTTGTTTCCAAGGTAATGAAGACTGCCCTGACTACAAGTACAGCAATATTCTTTGTAGAGCTTTGCTGTCTCTAATACACTTGGATGCTCAAGGATTATCATTTGAAAGAATAATTTTATTTTTACTTATTCACTGGATTGTAGATTAAAGTTTTCAGTAAGCTATGCTAGAGGTGAGCTGTTAAAACACCATGGGAATTTTGGAGGGGGGACCCCCCCCCCACCCCAGGCAGGCAGACAGACAGGTAAGCAGGCAGGCAGATGCACCCTCTAGAGGAGAAATGACTTCCTGGAATCTGGTAATGTGAGATACACATTGTCCCTCAGGAATGTTTATATAATCTTCTCCCTTCTTTTTCTTCTAGAAGTAAAAATAATAATACTGACCATGATCATGACCATGAAGAACTGTGATCATTCCAAGCCATCACTACTCTACCGAATTCACCAAGCCTAGCAGTGAGGACCAGACATTGAAGACCGAAATGCCCATACCAAACAGGAATTTAGCATCTTTGGTCTATATTCCCTTACAGTCTTTCTTGTTTATTTTTTTATAACCACTTCTTAACAATCTTAGTTTTTTTTATGAAGTTTTAGAAGATTTCATCTTTTTTGCACGGATACTTGCCCTTTTTGAAGCTGATTCTTGATTATATGAAAGTGAACAAAAAATATAATATGGTAAGCATTGCTCACTGGAGCAGGTGGTAATTGTGCAGAAAAGAGGATCTTAACTAAGTTAGATATAGTTTTTTTTCCAAGTATTTCAAGAGAAATCTCTTACTGGAGTAATTTACAGAATTTTTTTTTCGGATTATTCAGGTAAATATATGGTATCACATAACAAAGCTTTTTTTATAACAGTAAAACATTTCCTAAAATTTGACAAAATATATTTCTTTGAATAAATTTTTTTTACTGATATATCTGTAACTCCTTCTGTTCTAAGGATCTCCTTCTCTCTGTGGGACAGAGGTAGTGTGGCAGTTTGCAGAGGAAAAGGAGTAGAGAAAATTTTCTTCTGACTGAGCACTGTGTTTTAAAAATCTTTTTGCACTTTGGTGCCGATGCTCAACTTTGTAGACATTTTGCAGACTGCAACATTCCAGATAAGGAAAGAAGGAAGAACGAAGCATCTTCTCCTTCTTCCAACAAGAGATCATCTAGGCAGCTTAAAACCTTAGTGCTTTTTTTCTTACTGTGTCCAAACTTCAGCACTTCCATTATTTGAATACATGTATAGAATGCTCACTTTTCTATTAAACCTCACTGTCTATATGTTAGAACTGACATTTCTGTTATTGAAAAGGTATATGTTTCAGATACTTTGTCTAATGAATAATGCAGGTTTTTTGTATACTGAGGAAATTTGAGTGATGGATTGCATTCATAAAGTGATGAGACAGTAACATGATTTGATACAGACTGCCATTGAGAAAACCTGTTCATGATGTTGGATTATATTTTTATTTTGGGGGGTATTTTTTCTTCTTTTTTTTTTTTTTTGCTGTTGACTCTGTGTATAGTTAAAATGCCAAATTAGATTTATAGCTGCTTGAAGTTCTATTAAGTGATATTTTGCTTTCTGTAATTCTGTTATAAAATAAAGTTGTTTATTCTCTACTTGACTGTGGCATTCAGGCATAAATTTGGAAAATACTTAAAATGAGCAAATCTGTTTGAGATAACTACAGTTCTAGAGGCCTCAGAACCTTGAAAAGTAGGGGTTTTGTACAAAGTAGTCTCCAGGTTTACCTGAAGGGTGGCATGATCTTCTGTCTCCTGCTAAAGTATCAGTGTGTGTTACATTTCTAGAGAATGTCCTGGTTTCTGTATTTCAGAAAATAAATCTTTAGATGCCACTGGACGACACACCACATGTGAAAATGCTCCTCATTCTCAAGTGGTTCTACCGAGCTCTTTGAGAGAGGGTGCACTATGATCTTTAAGTAACACCAAATCATAATACTTCTCAATATGTTTATCTCCTCTGAACAATGTATTATTGGTGCTGTTCTCAGTTTTGCTTGTTGCCATCTGTCAGCAAGCTTGCTTAACACTAATTCCTATTACTTTTGACTTCATATGAGTTGAATAACAGAAGTCAACAGTAACCAAGATGTTGATTTATATATGCATATTTGTGTTCTTAATTATATTCCATGTTAACCTGAAAAATAGCATATAACCTAATTCATCTACTTTTCAAAAATAGAGTTGTTCTCTCTTTCAAACAAAGGAAAAGAACCCAACCAACCTAATAACATGAGAAAAGAACAAAAACCACTGTGCATGAATAGGAAGATTATTGTCAAGAAAGTATCAAGTTATGCATAGGTAAGAAGAGTTCAAAATGGAGATATATGCATTTAAGGGAATGTCTTAGTGGGTTTTTCATACAAAAATACGTAAGAAAAGGCTCTGTAGCATCTTTGAGGTGTTTTTGATATGGTATAGTATTAGTTGCAGAACTTGTTTAGTGGGAAGAAAGCATATGACCTCAATTCCTTATTGATTTGGATCTTTGATTTGTTAGACACTAGATTGTATTTAATTGTATTTAATCCTTAAAATTGCAAATACAATATTCTTAAACAATTATTTTCACTGAGACCTGTATTTCTTCAAATACTAATCTGAACCTTATGTCAGGGACAAGTGAATGGTGCCTTTAGGTCAGCATAGTTTGTGTGTAGCCATCACTTCCATTAATTAAACACATACTAATTAAACCATCTTTGACATGTAGAAAAACTCTAGCCCCCAAGTGTGGCCAGTCCTAAAAAGAGTCAAGTTTTACAGATTCTGGTTGTATGTAATTAATCAAATGTTCTAGAATATTGTGCAATTATGATAAGTTTTATTGCATTTTTTCTATCTGTAGCGAATATTGCAACACATGCAGCAAAAGAAATTGTGATCAACACACTTCATAAGCTAGCCTTACAATATGTAAGCAATTTCAAATATAATTAGTCTTATTTAATGAAAATCTGGAGAAGGCATTTCAGTAATTAATTCTGCTTAAATTACTGCTTAAGAAAAATGAGTCATGTGCATCCAACATAAAAATACTTCATATATGGTGGGTTTTTTTTCAGTTGTGATCACTTAAGGGTTCATAATAATTGTTTCATAAAAGACAAGCAAGCAACTCAGGTGACAGATTGTTTCAAAAAACAACAGATCTATTGCCCAAAGCTATGAGCAACTGCAACCTGAAGTGTTTCTTGAAATGTTCTTCTACTTGAGAACTCAAGCAGAATGACAGCTTTCAGTCCAGCCACGAAAGAAATCTTCTAGATGAAATGAAATATTAAGACAGAGGTCAGAGTCTGAGATCTGATCTAGATCAGAATGACCTTTAACTCAATACATTTGGCCAGGAAGCAGTGGGAACTTCTCAGTGTTTAGGCATGTTTACTGAGGAGCTGGGCTCCCTAGAGCAGCTGGTACACCACACTATTGGCCTGCCTGTGCAAGTCAGGAAGGTTTGAGGTCGTTTTGATTTTCAGGATGCTCTGGTTTTTACATTGCACTTGGGAAAACAGGTGCTTGGATTAATAATACTAAGTTACAGGCATTAGCAATGTTGCTAATACTTGGAGTGTTCCTTTATTCTGTTTGGAAAGAAATAAATCATTTAAGGGATTTTGGAGGTAAGTATATAATAATGGCTGTATGGGGCCAGGCTAAATGACTACCTTCTCCAGAGCTCTGTCTCTAACTGAGGTTAATGACAGATGCCTAGGGATGTGTATAAGAACAAAATACTGTACCGGGAAGTAGTACAGTAGTAAAGTCTTTCAACATTTTTCTAAGACTTACTGGTCCATCAGCAGTGTTCTTTTTCTGGCCTGATGGATTTTTGTTCTATGAAATTGCTTATTGCTTTTTAAAAACTTCCTGTGGCAAGCATTTTCACCATTACATGTATTTTATGGAAAAAACATCTCCTTTCATTTCTTTTGAACCTGCCTTCTGCTAGCTTCATTTCATGCCTCCACGCTAGACACTAGAAGAGACACTTGGTTTAGACATTCCCCAAACAGAAGCTATTCCAGAGCTGCATCATTCTTGCTACCTTTCTCTCTATCTGTAGATTGAGACCTTAAATCCTCTTCTGGGACAGGAAGAGGAAGCAATCATAGACAGGCAAGAAGAGAAGCACATTTAAAACGCTTGCCGGTTGTAAATGGAGGGAATAGTATCTTACTTTCGAGGTGATTCCTGGTGAGAGGAAGATAGAGGACTCTTCAGTTATAAAGATAATTGAAGATAAACTATTTCCTTGCAATCACTGTTTCCATATATATTTAGGAAGTGTTTTTACAATTTGTCAAGACAATTTCTTCAAAAGGAAGATTTAAATATGTATTTTTCTCAGTCAAGGAAATGATGTAAGATAACCTTGGCTAGGCAGCATGAAAACAGAGTCCTTGACAATATTCACTAATGAGACTGAACACAGCCAGGAGTTGACATGTTACTGAATCTTGAATGCCAGATCACTCTACATGTTAGCAGTTACAGCTCAATACGCAGTTTGAGCCTAGGGCATCTAGTGTTTTTCTGTTTTAATATGTCTTACCTAATATCTTTATGGTATCCTTGTTGGTAGCTATAAGACTATTTTATAATAAAATACTGTTAAATAGTGACACCACTTTTCAACACTTTAAATCTCTATTGTCAAACATTTTATGAAATAACAAAACCAATTTTATGTTGTAGTAAGACACACTAAATTTTGATTAGGTATGTGTATATGTTTTGACATGTGGTCCAGGCCAGTCTTTTCTTGGTGTGGGGGGAAATGGGTGTTTGGAATTTTGGGGGGTTTTGACAATTCCTTTAATCTCGGATCAGTATCCAAGATCACTGCTTTTCTATTGGCAACATGTTTCTTTAATGTAAAATAATGTTTTTTTCCCTATAGGTAGCAGCTGTCTCAACTTGCCTGCAGTGTATTATTTAGATTGTATTTAATAAGAGGAAAGAGTATACTGCAGAAGATATTTAAAGATGTTATTGAAAGGGGTCCATAATCACAGAAATTTATGTACTCAGGTAAAAAATAGTTTCATTGTCATGGCCAAAGAATGCACCTTTTCTTTGCTTATCTATTCAGAAAGCAAAAATTATTTGCATCCAAGTACTACATATGAAAATAGGAAATGTTCTATGGAATCAGGGTACTGAATCGGTTGGTGGTAAGTCCTGCATGTTGCTAGGATCTTACCAGCTGCTTCTGAGGAATTTGTAGAACACTCAAAATAAGTAAATGATAAAAGAATATACTTCTGGAAATGATTTCACCCTGTGGGGTCCATTATTTGCATGTTTAACTGTGATCAAGCAGTGAGGGTTTTCTATTCCAGTAACCCGTACAGTCCTTAGCCCTGCCATGTAAAGCACGAGAATTAAAACACACACAGTGCTAAAGAACCTGGCATCTAATAGTATCCTAATAAAGAAAAGAGTGAGCAATTTGTATTTCTGATATCTTTTTTCTGCAAACAAACATCATCTTGCTCAACCAAAGGTAAAAATTCTCTGCCTAGAGTTCTAAATTGAGCTTTAGACAGGGCAGAGTGCTTGAACAAAGACACTAGGCAGTGATATGATTCTTATTCATTCATCATTCATTCAGATACAGAACAAAAATAGGATGGTCCCCAAACCAAACAGTTTACAGTCTGAGTAAGACCCAAATGTGGCCTGTGCTGAATCAAGCCTATGAACTGCTTCTACCTGATTTGATTGCCTCTCCCTGCCAAAACAGACGTTGAATGGGGATACAGCAGGGTCTGATCCCCAAAACGTGAATGGCTTGTTCCCTCCTAGCAGCTGTGCTTATTTCTTGTTTCCTTGCTGGTAGGTTAGCTACTGGGGGATGCAACAAGTAGTTTCAGGAAGTCCCTCCCTTTTCAGGAGTCTAGCTTTGTTAAACACGCAGCACGGCAAGTTTGGAGGCTGGGAAATTAAAGCGCACATCTATCTCTCACAGTTGCTGAGGTTGAACTACTCCAACCTGATGACAGGTGGAAAGCACAGAGGAACAACAAGCAGTCATTGCTTGTAGAATAAGACATGGTCTCAGCATGCCAGGGCAGACTCTGTATGTTCTGTTACGTGCTTTGTTGAGAGTGGGGAGGAAAAAGCATGATTGCAGCTGATCTGTGGAGCACACAGTATTGAAAAGAAAAATTATCTATAGATGTGGAGTGGTAAACAGAGCAGAGTCATACTTGGAGGCCAGTAGGTCAGACTTATTGATTATGCAACTTGGCTTTTCAGATGAGACAGCTGGAGGTAGAGGCAGATCATTAGAAACAAACTTACAGATCTCTCACCTCAGACATCCTATCTGGCCTTAACTTTTGGATCTATACTGTTTGAAGTATGTTTGATCTTGAACATTTCAATCAGCTTACAGGAATGTTGACACTGAAGAAGCCCTCATCTGCATAATCAGGGGAACAGACTTTTTATGGAAGCTCTCTCAATTGAATATGTTGTTTATATGGTCAATAATAAACGTATGAGTTAAGAACACTTTTATTAAGATTCTCTATATATTACAGCCTGGTCTCAATCTCTATATCGCATAAGTATATAAATACGTTCTCGACACTCCCTAATAATTGTATCTTGACGTTTTCTTAGTGAACGTTAAGTATTTTACATAATAACATAAACGCAAGCCTAAAAACATTAAAAATGAAGCAAAGCATCACATTCTTTTCCACCACTGCTACCTTCATGGGATCACGATGGATCATGATGGATCTTGCAGTGAAAGCTGTTTTATCTGTTTGACCCATGCTTAGGGCCAGCATTTAAGGTAACAGCAGCTGACTTCACTAAAGGTGGAAGCTAGGCCAATGTTAAGAGCTTTTGAGACTCTTCACCTTTACATGCAAGTCTGGCTATGCACTGTGTTGTACAAGGACAACCAGGTAATGTGAATATCCAGGTTCTGAGAGGAGGTAGGGCAGCAGGTGCTCCTGAAGACCCTGGGTAGCTAGAAATGTAAGATCCATTGAACGTCCGGGTGATAGGCAGCTCTCATGATTTCCAATTTGAGCACTACCTTTGCAGTGCTCCTTTGCTTTTGCCCTCTAAATTACAGCATATTTGTCATTTGCTGTTTGTCCAGTAAAGTTTTTGGTGTGAAGTTCATAAGAACAGAAGCACTGCACACTTAGCTCTTACTGTGAAGAACAAGTTTATATGAAGAGTGAAATAAGAAGGAGAAAATCCTTTTTCATTTTCAAGTTACTGAAAAGAACTTCTGGCACGATCTTATAAAGTTCAGACAGGGCATCTTGAAACACAGAGAAACTGTTAATGGGCTTCTTGAGTGAACTTCCAGCCTACAATTGAACCATAGATTTCTGTGGCTGCCAACTGGGATAAACTTGTTTTTACTGTCTTTGCTCTTCCATGTTTTGCTGTGTTTCTGTTACGGCACTGCTGCCTTTGAGGTCGAAGTCCATGTGTCTGTCATGTATTTAACTTTTGCTATTCACATCAAAAACACTTCTGAAAAAAGGTCTGGCTTTCTTCACCCAGTACTTTTTGCTGATTTCAAGTGGAACTACAAGGTACTCTGCACTTTCAAAAGTCAGGTAATTTATTTAGGAGTCCTAAATAGAGACTGTCAGACATCTCATTAGAGATGCTTGTATTTCAGCATCCCAACCTTTACTTTTTCTTTACAAAACGCCCATGTAGCTCCTGCCAAGTAATAATTAGCTCTTTGTCTGTTCAGTGCCACCTATTGTATGCTATTTGCATAGATGTAGAACTGTATGATGAACTAAGTGTTTTAAAAATAGAATAGTATTAAAATATGATAGAGGAACAGCTACGTATAGTAAAGGTAATTGACATTTGACTCTTGTTTTCTTCTCAAAGCCTTTGGTAAATTACTGTGTTTCTTAAAACTGTGGTCATGGCCTTATTAGGGTTTACAGAATGATTCAAAGGAGTTCTCAAAAGGCTATGAGAACCTGAACTGTGCAAAAATGTAGTTAATATGTCAGACATGGCATTATCCACTCTGCTCTTGCAGGCTAGAGTAATGACAAGCACCTGTAACGAAAGGTAATCTCTTGCAGGCTGGAGTAATGACAAGCACCTGTAATGAAAGGTAATCTCAGTTAGCGGTTGCTAGCAGTTAGGGATAGGAAGCATTCAGGGATAGGAATCCCAGTCGCTTCTCATTCCTTTTCCTTGTAAGAACTGACTTGCTGACAGTCGTAACACTCAGCTCAGTTTGGGTTTAAACTTGAGAGTAAGAACCAGAGAAGCCAAAAGGCAACAGTACACTCAAAAAATTTGAGTTATGTTTTTTTAGGTAGTTTGCCTCAGCCAATGTGAAATGCACTGAAAGTTATACACTTACAGCTAATGGGAAAAAATGATAGAAAATTCCATGCCTATGTTTGGCATTTGAAAAATCATCCATTTATTCAGTGAAAGTACTCAGACAAAAATAAGAACTGTTTTCCAAAATATTGGTGGTATCTTTTCATGGTTTCAGAAATTTAGTCATGATCTAACAGCAGGGAGAAGTCCTTTTATATCATCACTGTTATATTTTTGTTCCCAAATTCTATGGGATATATACTTCAGAAGATCTACGCTCTTTCCCAAAGTATAAAAGCTAATTAAAAGTCCGTTTCCCCTCCATCACCCTTCTCAGTTGCCCAGATGTCAGTATTTGATACGAGCTTGCTATTTCTGCATCTTCAGTGTAATAAGATTGCCTGCCTTGCATGTGCCTGCTCAGCTCTCTCGGGAGCTTGTTATAGAGTTTTCTTCTCAGCAGGCTAGTGAAGGGCTAGTGAGCAAGGTGATTTCCCTCCCCCCAAATCCCGTGTCATGTAAACAAACTGATACACTACATTGCAGGAGGTCTCTGGTGTCCAATGAGTTCAACAAAGTACTGCTTACCCGGCCTCCTGTGAGAAAGCAAAACTGTTACAAGGCCTTTTTGAATGGCAGCAGCTGTTTCATTTGTACAGCACAACACTAAATTCTCTGCATTTTGTTTTCCCCGTGGTATTTATCTACAGCTGGTTATTTTTAAACCTGCAGAGCTGAGTGCTGGTTTTCAGCTTGCTTCCTGAGGCGTGAGACTCCCTTAAAGGTCATTCAGTTCTTGCATTTGATCGCTTTTTTTCCAGATCTTCTCAGTTTCTGGCATTGGACATGGTAATTCAAGAGGGTGTTTCTGGGGTCGTGCACCATGGCCAGTTCCTTATTAACTGAAAAATAAACCAAACAACAAAAAATTCAGTAAGAATGCAGTACTTCCCAGTAGTGAATTTTCATACAGAAAAGGAGCTGGCATATATTAGAAAGAGCAGGTCAAATTAAATTGAAGGTGCACAAGTAGCAAGTTAATATCGATTTATTTGTGCTTCTACAAGAAAGTCCTCCGAGTAGAGAAGAAGGATTATGACTCTGCCTGTTGAAGCACTCACCTAAAGTCTGTTGACATCAACAGAAATATTCTATTCTCATCTGCCTCCATCAGCTTTCAATCAGAATAAAATGCTTTAAAATTGCAAGGAGAGCAATTAGCCTTTTACTGGCAATTAGCATTCTATTTTGTTGTGGCAGTACCATGACAGCCTTGATCACTGGATTGATCCTCCCTGTGCTGTGTGTGATACAAACAGAATAGAAGAATGATCTCTGCCCCACAGCCTTGCATCTTCAAAACAGGACACTGTCATCAGAGGCTTGGAGAATATTTGGAGAGGGATGAGGAAACGGGGCGGGGGGGGATTCCCACCCATTTAGTGTACAAAGCTTTGTCACAGGATACTAGCTTCCCTTGTCGTTGTTAGTTGTTCAGAGGAAAGGCTGATGATTTGTTTGATTTGGTTTTATTTTTAAGTGGTCTTGGAAGGACAATAACGAGATGGTTTTTGGTATGTTTATGTGTTTATGTTCATGCTTCACGTTGAAAAAGGACAAGTGCTTGGCTAACAAGGAAACAAGGCATGCAAGTAATGCAAATTTTTTTTTTTTTGGAAGAAATCTAAAGAAATAGACACCAAAGGCCTACTGAATTTCTGAGCTTTCGTAAGAGAGGGCGTGCTGTAAGTTTTCAGGGTTATCTGTGCTTAGTTATTTGGCTCACCTGATGGTCTTAAAACTGAACCTGGCTTGGCTGACAGGATCACATGATATTAGCTTGCCCGTACAGGGAGAGCTGTGCAGAATGGTTTGTGTGTGTTGTCTGGAGGCTTCAGTGATAGGTGTGACCGGCAGTCTCAAATCAGGCAAAGGAAAGGCCTGGAGCTAGAGCTGGCGCTGAGATGCCCAAAGCATCAGATAGACAGGAATTTGTCTCACTTCCTCTTGAGACTCCCACCCAGGATACCTATTGCCTGGAAATTGAATTTTTGCCCTGAGGCTTTGGATAGCCGTGTGATCCGCCTCAGTCATCCTTTTTAGCTATGAAAGGGGAAACCGCAGGAAAAAAGATTCCTTTGACAAATTTTTCTGCTAAATGGTTTGTTCACCCCTCTCTCTTAAAGCCTTGATTGCTGATCTAGGAAAATTTAGGAAATCATTACTTAAACTCATTACAAATCCAAAACTAAGAATTCTGTGCTTTAGCAGAGGCACCTTTTAACATCTGGTTTTATGTAATATTCACAGACCTACAGAAAACCCAGCTAAGGAGGATATAGGAGCTTTAAGACAAAGCAGGCCAGTTTGTTTCAGCAGTTTATCACATAGCATGAATGCGAACGTCTCTGGGGTTTTTTGGATATGTTTTTTTGGTTTAACAAAAGTACTATCTGAGCCTCTACCAAAATATCTGAACTCTTGGGATCTGTAACCCACCTGCTTTTCCTGTTTTGCTAGGTCTCAGCTGAAATAGAAAAGCAAGAGAATTGCCAGGTAGGAATCAGTTCAGTAGTACCTCAGTGTTATTTCGTAATAGCTAATGTCTAACTAAGACAGATGGACATAGATGATTATTTGCTAAAAGGGAGACCCCCGTGCTTTTATCCCAAGTTTAATGCAATAATTACCTTACCTCCTGTTCTGATTTTCCCAAGACAGCCTTTTTCAGGAAGGAACTATCAACACGTAGGCTTCCTCCTCTTTGATATTTATTGAATTGTATGATGTTTTGGCACCACATCATTTTTTGTTGTTGTTTGCTACTGTGTGAAAACTGTCAGCAGTTGTAAATTATCCTTAGAGGAGGGTGAAGGCAGAGCTGAGCTGGGAATGCAGAAAAGGCTTCCCTAGTTGATTAATGCAGCATCTGCAAAGTACATCTTGAACAGGAAATATTTGAGTTTTAGCAGCCTGAAGCTTACTTGCGGTGTGTGCTTGTAAGCAAACATCCATCCTGCATGTTAAAGCCTCAGGTCTAGATGCCTGGAGATGTTACGTAAAATAGGAAATGAGTTAATTCTACATATCTGGATACTGTGTCCTTTCTTACATTTAAAACTATGTTAAATTGCCTAATTTTCAGAATTTCAGAAGGCTGCAAGATAGAACAAACTTTACGAATATACAAATTATAGTGCTTGATCTGGCATCCAGGCAAAGGTAAGATAAAACTCTAACCATGTATTGGTTCAGTAAAACTGCCTTTTCCCTGTTGGGCTGATTAGCCTTGGGTCAGCGCTGGGTGAAGGTCTCAGTTTGTCATCTGCAGACCCCGTGGTCAGGATTTTTCTTCTGCCTGCCTTAGCCAACTCTCTGCTTTTAAGATCACGGGTGGGCTATTGAAGCTGAAACCTGTAATACCTGCATTACGCATTGTTGGCCCACACAGGAGTCTAATCAAGATGTACCAAGAGGCATCTGGTTTTACAGAGGCAATCTAGGATATCATCGTAGCTTCTCCAATAGAGAAGCTTCTTCTCATAGAGAAGAAGTTCAAAAGGCGGCTAATTTCAGGAACAAGCTTAACCTCATGTCTGCGAGAAAGGATCTTGGAAGGGCTGGCTATGTTCAGTCATTCAGGTATGCATGACTGGTAGCAGTGTTTCTGACAATGTCCTTAGATATATGTGAAGTCAAAAGCAGTTAGAGCAAAGCTTTCTGACAGAAGTGAGATAGGGCCAGGTATAAAAATTCAAAAGCTAGGTATTTTGAGCATTTTGTCATGAGGTGTTCTTTTCAGGACCATGTTATGCGTACAACTGTTTTCATTCACTTATGTTCAGAGAAAACTGGATAGTTTTAGTGAGTGCTGGAATAGTCTCTCTTACCGTGTTGCTCTTCGTGGCACTCTCGGCTTAGAAGAGTTGGGGCTGATCATGATGGGCTTGGCTGTTGTTCACTGGCCAGTCTAGCCCTTTCATTTCTGATATTTGGTATTATTACTTTGTCTCAGTGTTTATATTTTAAATTAATCCACATCTTCCAGATCCCTATATCATCAGAGATAACGGGGATATATCTTCTGTTTTCTGTGAAGATCATTTTCTCCACTCCCAGTCCCCCCAAAAAAGTTAAGAACTTTGATCTGCGTGTGCCCTGGGGCAGAGGTTAGCAGTTTTTGTTTGAGGTTTTAAGGCTGGAAACCTAAAATGAGAGCAGCACATGCATGAGTCTGCCGCTACACCTGAGATTCAAGCTGCAGCTAGACTCAAATCCAGAAGACGTGAAGATCATCCCATGAAAACAGCATGGTCTGACATACAGGGGTTTCCCTTCTGAAAGGAATTCCCTGCCTGCTAAAGTTGTATCTCAGTGTCTTTTCTGTATCTAAGTGCGTTGCACTCACCGTGTATTAAGATATCTGAAATTGGATGGATTTTTTTTTTATTCTGAAGATAGATTTTGATGTGAATATAAGCTGCCTTTAAAATCGAAAAGGCAATGTGCCAAACATACATTTAAATCCAAGTAAAAGCAAATAAATATACCTTTGATAAAAGACAGACATACTCAATAACCAACTAGTTTTAGGGTGCAATTGCTGTTAACTGTCACACTCACGCAGTGAAAGCACAGAGGAAAATGATCGGCACTTTAGCTACTCAATTTTTTTTCAGTTTGGTTGCCCTTCCATAATGAATGCTGCACAGTCAGTAAAACCATGGAGTTTTAAGTGAGGGTTCAAGCTAAACATTTTTTATAGAGCATCTTCTCTTTGAAAAGTACGTTAAAATGCAGCACAACTTGAGAAAATGGTTTATGATCATAATTCTGTTCAGTTTAGTTATTGGCTCAAGCCTAACAGCAGTCTGTTAAACACCAAGTTCCGTCTTTCTACCCACTCATTGCCCCTGAGTCCTGACCTACCTTCTAATAATTTGATCCTGAAGTAGGCAATTAGCAGCAGGAGAAGTAAAGTCACAGGCAAAAAAATCCCAGCAAAGAGAAGGCAGCCAGGTAGCTCCTTCACAAACACTGAGAGTAGGTAACTCATGCTCAGTTTTCTCTGCAACAGCCCTGCTGAATAAGTTCCTTCAGATCTCTAAACGTGGAGCTTATTTTATCTTTCTTCCTTTTTTCTGCATCCACATTCTGCCCTTTGCTCAGACCATTATCACTTTTTGGACTTTGGTTTGTTTGTATAGGCCTGTGATTCCTAATAGGACTGGAGTTCAGCTGCAAAGTCACTCAACCACAAAGTTTAAAAGTGCATAGTGAAGTAATCTAGGACTTGAAACCTTTGGATAAGATGGGCTGGGTTGGGCTCCATATGAAATGCTGCTATGTTTTCAGCATTATGGTTTCTTTCGTCTGCTAATGTTGTGCAGGCCAATCTGGATCATAAGCATCCATTTTCTGGAAATGTTATTTTTTATTTTACAATAGATGTAAAGTGCTTTACTCAAGATGAAAACCCTTTCATACATACAAGGTGCGCCTTTTAGGAAATATGTACTATCTGTTCTTGAGAGTTTTCAGTTTGAAGCACCGAGACAGCAAGAGAGACAATGGATATTGTAGCACCAACATTTTCTGCAAATATGTGATTTTGGGGCCAGGCTTGCCAAGGAATTCAAGTACCTTTCAAACACTCAAGTAAGTAACTGGGTTTGAGGTGTTCATGCTGTTCAATTTTTCTGATCTGGCTGCCAGTCTACGGCAGAACTGTGTCTAGAGTGGTTTAAACAGAAGATTACCCTTTCAGTATCCTCCTACACCATCAGATTTCTAAAAGTGTCAGGTCTTGAAAACTGTTGTCATCCTTAAGTGTCATCTTGAAACTGTTAATGCACACAGGGTACACCGAGTTGATTTGGGGGCGATGCAGAATTTCCCTGATTGACCTGCCTGAGTGCTTGAATTCCAGCATAGACATACTTCCCCTTGTTAGAAATATGGTCAGTCTGCCTGAACATCCAGTCTTTCTCCTATCAAATCCTCCTAATGAAGGCTGCGGTAAGTGCACATTGAACCCCAGTGAGACCTGGATCATTGGGTCGACTAGACGACCCCCACCTCCAGTGTACATCCTCGCTTCTTCTTCCCACCAACACAGTGCTGAGAAGGCAGAGTTGAAAGCCCAGAACATTCTCAAGAGCCGTTACATCACCTGTTACTGGGGTCCTTCCAGCTCAAAACATTGCTGACCGCACCCAAATTCAACTTAGAGTATAAAACTAGCCCTGGGCTTTCTGAGTTTGAGCCAGGTTCTCCTTGGGAGCAGCGGGTCTGCGGGGGAAGAACGCTTCCCTCGGGACAGGACCTGCCTGAGGCAACTCCTCACGGTTGAGAGCCCTCTCCCAAGTCTGTGTGAGTGATAGCGTGTAGTGGGGGAGGATTGGGGTATATTTTGCTGATGAACCCACAGTGCAGTTGCTCAGCTCCTATACTGACCTCCGAAACCTGTTGAATACCGTTGCTGGTTAATAAATTGGTTAATAGTTCTCTAACAGAGTGGGCCCTGTTCATTCCATGACAAAGACATCAAGTAACATTCAGCATGGTGGTTTTAGGGGTTCAGCTGCTTGCTATGACATGGAAAAGAAGTGCAAACTACCATTAAGAGAGCAATTCTCTCTTGACATCCAGAAGATGTACAAGATTTGTCTGACTAACTGGGTAGATGGGTAGGCTGGAGATAATGAAAAGTACAGTAGGTTTGCAGATTTTCAAGGCAAGGAAGTATTACTGTTTCCAAAGGCAAAGAACCTCACCTAGTAAGCATTTTAGTAAGTTTGTAATTTTCTTTGAACTATTTGGTATGAGATCCTCCTATTGTGACAAGCGATGGAGAAGTTTGCACTTGCAGGCAAATTCCCCATTTTGTTAATCATCTTGCTTTTGTGTTTAATAGAAGGACAAATCGAGTGTGCCTTCTTTCTTGTTTATATTTCTTTGGCCTCAGTTTCTAACCATTAGGTCTCATTCTGCCTTTTCCCGCTAGACGTTTGACCTCATTTGTAATGTGCTTTATGATGTACTGATGAAAAGCATGGATTAAAAGCCAGGTGGTTAGGATATTAGTATTATTATAGGCCCATCTGTCACCATAAAATTCCTTCCTTGTACAGATACCTGTCAGCTGTGATCAATAAACTCCTTAAAATTTTTATATCCATACAAAATTAATTCATTATTTTAGACTGTGATGAATGTTAGTGTTCCAGCATGCAAAGCGATCTTGTAATGTTTTGATGAACACTTTTCTGGATCTTTTTAAAAAGTACTTCCTAACTGATGTTCTTAAAACGAAAAAAAAAATCATGCGCAACCAAAAAGTTCTGTTTGAATGAGTGAAACCTGTGACAGAATTCCAAGCTCTGTGGCATTACAGAAAGAGTCGGGGAGTACTTCTCTTTCTTTGATACATCTCCATGGCTCACGGTGAAGTTAATGGGAGCTAAATACCTAAGTACAAGGGCAAAACAGTCTTTTGGATTTTTTAATTGGTTTTCCATGTGCACTCAAGAAATTCTTTTCTATCAAACATGCGGCACAGATGATGATCAAGTATGTAGTTACTGTGCTTGTCACATCTGATTGTTCTGGGGAGAGACAGATGATGGCTTGTAAAGCAGACAGCTTTTGACTGGGTAGTTTCTGCCTAGAAGAATAAGAACATTCTCCATCCTCCACATTTGTACAATCTGTTTGTCAAATGACAGATGATATCTCTGATCATAGTACCTACACGAGGAACAAAACTTTGCTAATGGCTGTTCAGTGCAGCAGATGTGAAACAAGTTTTCCATGTTGAAGCAGGTCAAATGCAGGTGGAAGCAAGGTTAACTTTTTTTTCCTTTTAAACAATGAAGGCAATACATTTTCTGCTTAGGACTGTAGGAGAATCTGAGTCCCTAGCAATTTGAAAATCTGAGACAGGATGACTTTTCTGAGAGATACAGCCCAAACCAGAGTGAATTTGGGTAAGCCAGTTTAGCAGTGGGTCAGACTAGGTAATTGCAAACAATCTGACAGACTATGTATGAAGGGACAAGGTCACATGAGTAATATTAACAGCTCTCCTGTCCACTGCCTCTGTTCAGCTAATGCGCAGTAAGCCTCTCTTTGTAAAATTAAACATTTCCTTTCACAGTTGCACTGACCTCAGGTTCATTGTCTGAAGTGAGTGGCAGGTGTTCGTAAAGCTGGGGGGAGCTCTGTAACTGCAGTTGCACTGTTGTTTCAAAAAGCAGGGTTTCAGCATCCACGCAAATCCATCTGAAGTGGATGATGCTACATGTGCCTTTGCTGTGTGATCACACTTCTATCAGAGTCAAAAGAAAATTGGAAGATTTGGGCCAGACATGGTTTAGTTGTGCGGGAACATATGGTTTCCAAGGTGATCTGTGACGCTTGAGTGTATTTTGGAAAATAAATCGATTCATGAGCTTTGCTGAAATGTCACTGACTTCTCATGAGCCGAGACCAAGCAACTGATTGCTTGTCACCCTGCTGGTGTTGCCAGTCCTGTGGTACAGGCCAGACCTGGTAAAAGCTCAGTTTATGGTTCATGGGAAACCCTGCCATTTCAAAATGTTCCTTTTGGCCTGAATCAGAAGTAAAAACTTAATTTTCTG